GTCCTGGCGGCGGCTGGCTGGCAGTCACTCCTTCTGCCTTTCTGTTCTTTTATTTCTCCTCTCTGTTAGTCCCGCCTATACTTCCTGCCTAGCCACGGCCAATCAGGTTTTCTTTATTGACCAATCAGAGCAACACATTTGCCATGCAGACCATCCCCCAGCACAGCCAAGTGCAGACTATCTCAGACACCTGCATTCAGGCTTGTGGTCCTAATCATCCTCTATGTGGACCTGCTGGGTAAAGCCACGAGGAACCCAAGAATGGGCTCCCACAGGACATACAGAACATCCCACAGCAGACAACCCTGACTGGAAGGGGCCAATGGACCTGTTCCTATATCAAAGAACATGCCAGTAACAGGCAGCTCAAGGGGATTGCACAGGATGACAGCCATCATGAAGCCTTTGTCTGCCATCAAGTCCTGGCTCTTTTCTCAGGAAAGCATAATTCTGCCAGGTGGGCAAGATGACCTTGGGTAACAGCTACTTGAATGACACTGATCTACTTAAAAAAAAATTCTGGCAATAGCTTTGCTGTGTAAATCTCTCATTTGCTCAAATGCCAGGCTTGCAGTCTTAGGAGTCTGTTTAAAATTTTTCAAAGTATGACTTGGAGCAGAGGCCTGAAAGAGATGTAAGGATGACAGTGTATGTGGAATGTAAAACCTAAGACCTACATAAGCCAGTTACATTTTTGGTTTGGGTTCATTCTCTTTTGTGCATTAGCCAGAAAAAAAAAAGTCACATGATATTTTGTTAAAGTGTTTTTTTAAATCAGTCTCTAAATGCTTGGAGTGATTTCTCATGGGGAAGGCATATTAATGTCATAACAATATGGGTGGGAGAGGACACCCAGAGTTGGGAGAGGGTGCTCTACGTTAGTCATTTTATAAGACCCCTTGGTATTCTCATCTTTCTTATCACATTTCCCAGATGTTTGTCCCTTAGTGGCTCTTTTCCACCCCTCTGTTTTTCTCAAGAGAAAGAAGGCAGCGTTCTCAAGAAGTTAGTCTTTGCTTTACCTGCCTGTCTCCATTTCTCCACACGTTTTTAGCTACAGAAAGATTCCTTAGCACTGATTTCCCCTTTCTTAGTCTATATTGACAGTGTGAAGGCCCTGCTGCCTTGGAGAAGTTACCTACTATGATTATTTCTTTCCACAGGCAACTCCTAGGCCAGTCATGGAGGTGCTGGGGGGGAGGCCGAGACTGCAGTAGTGAGAACATCATGAAACAGAAGCTATAGTAGGTGCCTGTGCAGGGCACTCAAGGCAAAACCATCAAGTGTTGTTTGGAGGATGAGAGATTCATCACAGACTTTCCCCAAGGTACTGATGTCCCATCAAAGTCTTGGGAATGGGTGTTTCCTTGGCCATGGGAACTCTTGCCTAGAAAAAGCATTTTCAATTAACACCCTGATGTGTCAGGGGAGCTGTCAGCTTCTATGAAGTAGAAGCTATAGGGCATGCTTGTGGAGATGGTGTGCTAGCAGATGGGTGGGAACATGACAGAATACTGAAAGGTAAGGGTAGGGGTGGGGCATGGTTAACTATCAATGATAACTGTATTTTAAAGACAAAAACATAAAATAATTTAAGTCAGTGATTTACAACCTTCCTAATACTGCAACCCTTTATCACAGTTCCTCATGTGGTGGTGACCCCCAACCATAAAGTTATTTTGCTGCTATTTCATAACGGTTATTTGTTACTGTTACATATTTTAATATAAATATCTGCTATGCAGTGTATCTGATATGCAATCTCCAAGGGGGTCAGGACCCACGGGCTGAGAACTACTGATAAGATATAGGTGCTGCAGAAGGTGAATGACATAGCGTGGTTGGATTTCTATTTCTCACAAGGCCACTGTGTCACAAAGGATGTAGAAGATGGGCAGGAGATGAAGATAAGGAGAAGAGGAATGGAGCAGGTAGCAGGAAGAGAATCATGATGAGCAACAAGGCAGACAACAAGGCATGGTGACCTGAAAAGTCAAGAACAACTCTGAGGCATCTGACTTGAGAACCTGGATGGGACAGTGAGTAGGGAGCAGGACTGTGCAGGGCTAAAGGTGAAGAGTATAGGGTGCAGGCCTGGGATGATGGCCTTTGTTGTTGAGGAGAATCGAGAACATTGCTCCTTCTGTCAATGATAGGGACTAAGACCACAGGCTTGTCGGTCTTTAATTAGGAGAGAAGTTTTTCTCTTGGAAAGAAAAACTCTGAAAATATAGTCTGAGGATGCTGGTAGGGGCAGAGGTCAGAAAACAGTGTGAGGTTTCAGACCTTAGATATAGGCAGAAGTTTTCTCCAAAGGTGAAGAAGTGACGTGTTCGCCCTGCTTTGTGATCTTTTTGACTTAAGGATAGTAAGTTCCAAGACTGTTAATATGCCTGAAGGCTTTGTCTTTCTGGACTCATCTGCTCCCTAGTGCTGCATTTCAAGCATACCATCTCCCTTACCCTTGGAATGTTCCCAGCCTCCTCAGAGTATACACACCATTGAACTGCTTACCACAGGCAGAGGACACCATGAAAAAAAGGACTTACTCCAACAGAGCCCACCTTGTCTCATCTCTCAGCACTTACAACCCTCTTCCCATGTGACTTTGCTAAATCACCCTTGAATATTCCATTGAAGACTCATTTTCTTTAAGAAGCACTTCTATACTTGTACTATGATCCAGCACCTCTCTTAGTGTGTTCACATACTCGTCTCCATCATTACACATCTCACTTTACTGAGATGATCTTAGTGCCAATGTAGTTCTGCTATTAGGTGGGGAAATAGTGTACCTCCACTGTATGGCACATGGTAGACCTTCAGTGAATAAGTAATAAGTATTTTTTAAATAGAGCTGAATGGGGTTTGGACATGAAAAAAAGCAAGGATGTTATATAAGCAAGGGTCATAAATACATAAGTGTTTAAGGAGACAGAGTTGGAAAGTTGGTCTATACCTTTGTGTACTCACCAATATCTCAATTCACAACTGAGAATTAATATATTCTGGTTTGATTATTTTGAAATGTGCACCACTAATAAGAAGACAACTCTTGCCAGATTCTGCAAATTAATTATTGTCATGTATATATTTATAACTAGTCATTTCTAGGAGTAGTTTCTTATGATGAGCTCTACTAAATACTACAAATCCCAGCATCCCTTTCAGGCTTGTCAATACCACATGACAAAGTCTGGCCAATGAAAATGTGACTAGAAAGGACTAGTCACTGAATCCAGGGCAGTTAGAAAGAGGGTTGTATGACATTTTCCATTTTCTCCTTTTCTGGGTGGGCTTGGTGGTTGGAAAGAACTGGGTTTATTCCATGCTAGAAGTACCCTAAATCTTTGCATCACTCTTAAGCATTGAGAAAGTCTACAATGGACTTTCATTTGGACAAGAAATAAATCTTGTCCAATAAATCTTGTGTAGGGCTTTTCTATATCGCCAACCAGTGCCTTTGACACTTAGGAATGTAACTCCAAAGAGCCACTCTGAAGCATTTCTAAAACATTTCTCACAAAATCATCGAAACATCTACTTATTAATAAGTGGTGCAATCTTTATTGATTTTGAGATAGAACATAAAAAAATCAGGTAAGAATTGTTTGCATAATATATATGGAAATCAACCTATTAAAGTTGTCAAATATTGGACAGAGCCAGAATATAAATTACACATACAGTTTAAAAATTACAGGAAACCATATTATAAAGAGCACTAAAGGGCACTTGTGGAATAGTTGTGTTCCCGTGTAAGCCAGAATGTGGAGAGCCTACTCATAGCACAGAGACAAATCCAGGGAGCAAGGCACCAGAATTCTATGCCGTAAAAAGGGGTGAAAGAAAATACAACCTAAAATCAAATACAGTGGTTCACATCATTGGAAACCTCAATATGTTCTTCCAGGGTAGGTGTTATCCATCACTGCTACATAGGAAAAGGGGTTAGAGGATTCTAGCCCATCTGAAGCAAGAGAGGGATTGTTTTTTTAAACAGAAGGATTGGCAAATCTGATAATGTGCATCCGTCCTAAGTTGGCTTTTTAGAACCTGGCCCAGGTTCTCTCTCTAACAGCTTACATCTGCTATTTGATTAAAGGGTTGTTCAAATCTTCTACTTAGCCTTCAGGGAGGGCCGAAGGTTGGAGCTAATCTCCCATCCCTGGAACTGGATTCAGAAGGGTAAAGAATGGCCCAGTTAGGAGACCCATTTGGTGTCCATGCAGATTCCTGTTCTCTTAATATTGAGAAATGGAGACATAATTGATCTGCCCTTTTGGCCTCTCAGAGAACACGTTTTAAAGGCTCATTTGTGTCTGCACAATATTTCAAAGCCCTAAAATAAAGATGCAGTCTAGAGGCACAAAATAAGAGTCAACTGAGGCTGGGGCACTTTTGAACTCCTTCAGATAAATACAGTGACAGAGGATCTGCGGGGACAGAGAACAAAGGGTGTTTGTGGCAATATCTGTGGCCACCAAACTCCAAGGGCTAATGGACTCCAATGTGAACCCTGTGAATAATTTATGTGGCATCACTTTCAGCTTCTGACAGCTAGATTGTGAAAACATTTAAAGGACCTGCTGAATAGCAGGGGGGCAGCTGAAAAAAGTCACCCTTCTCTCTGGAACATGGGTGGGCCTGTGATCATTTCACCGGAAAGCTGACTGCACAGAGGAGGGAAATGTCTTCTTAGGGACCGTGAAACCTGACTGGGGAATAGTTCTACTGCCTGGGAGAAATTGGTGTAGGGGCAGAGATAGGATAAGTTTTTGAGGTCCATGGCTTTGTGTAAAATCCAAGCTCTTTCTCTTGTAATATGTGACATCCAGGCAGCTGTCTTTCTCTCAGCTTCAATTTCTGTGCAGCCAATGGCAGTCCTCAAGTGAGCTTGACTTAAGGATGCAGCATGTAGGCAATGTAGAAAACTACATCTCATGCCTGCAACTCCTAAGGACAACTTAGGGGGAGCTGTTCTCCTATCCCAAGACCTCAGTTTTGTAGACAGAGTTGGAGAACAGAGCATTGAAATCAAACTTTCTCTTATTTTCATAACTCTTAGGTTCCCAATTTTAGTCGATATTCCTAAATACTGGGCTAGGTGTGGCTAATTAACTTCAGCCGTTCTTGGGTTACATAGATCTGTGTGTATGTATTTTTTTTTAACTATGTTAAAAGTTACTATTCTTTCCTGGCACTTACTTAAAACTCAAAGGAGTGCTGTTCAGAGGAGAAAAAAAAGACTTAGGCAGAATGACAATCTTTAAAATAATTCAGTCAACAAAAGCCATCCTATATAAAGTGTCACTTTGCTCATTGATTCTTTCAGGAGCTTTTGGATCAGCCAACCCAGGATTGCTAACACATCCTATCTTACTAGTGGGTTTCATAAATATTTTGGGGGGAACACTGTCAAATTCTGGCAAAGGTAAGCACGGCCCAGGTGGAAACTCTAGAGACCTGCACATGAGTCATGAAGGCCAGTTTATTCCCTAAAGTGTTATAACAGTTACACAGACATGATATGTTTTTAAGCAGAACTTATTCTAGACAGCTTTTGGCAAAGGTCCAAAGAGTATCTGTCTATGAAATGGCAAGCATGGGTTCCCCTGGGGTAAAGTGAGAAGAACCAGGCATGCTCAGACAAAACCCAGATATTCCAGTATACAGAGTCACCTTTGGTAGAACTGGAAGTATGTGGCAAGTCAGATTCCCAAAGAAATCAGGTCCTACTTAAATCACATCTATAGAGAAGTCTCATTCAGTGGATCTGTATCTGAGGATACAACCCAAGTTGTGAGTGGAGCTGAATGAGTCCAAGAGATGGACCAATCTTGTGTCCAATCTTGGCACAATAAGACACAGAGCAAGAATAGTCATAAGGGTGGACAGTAGTCATGAACATGGTTAAAAGGTTGGTCTTCTGTCTTTACCTTACCGTACTCATCAGCATGAGGGTTCTCTGGGCCCTTTGATGATGAGATAATCAGAAGGGATATTCTTAAGACTAGAGGGCATCAGCCCTATAGGGTGAGGTTCTCAAAAAGTATTTCTGGTTCAGCTGTTTCTCAAGGGAGGCAGGAAAATTTCATTTATCTTCTGGGGTCAACATCTAGACCAGGGGTCAGGAGACCTGAGATCTAGGTTCACTCTACTTGGTCATTATTTTAATCATCACGAGACCTGATTAAAACCCCTATTCTCTGAGCCTTTATAGTCTGCCCTAAAATAATACGAGTGACCAAGGTCTTGTTCTGCACATTTTAGAATCTGTGAAATTGTGTCTCCTCAATTCTGTGGAACTATATCTGATCCTAGAGGCATACTGAAGTTGAGGCTGCTGAAGGCTGAGATCACATCCACAAGGAAGAATCTGAACAAGTTTTGGCCCTCTTCCTGAAGGTATCCCATTCACAGAAAGGGCACTACTGGTAGCCTTCATGCCACAGTTGACTTTCCTTTCATATTAAATTAGTTCTCTTTGTCTATATCTCCTATAAGTATTTTTTTTTTTAGAGAACACTGCTACATCTGCCACTGTTTAATAGAATCAGCTACCGAGAATCAGCATTCTTAATGCTCCTTTCAATATTCCTTATCTCCCACATTTTGATGGGAAAAAATCATGTTGTAGACAGGTACATGGTTAAAGAGCAACTGAAAAAAATACCTAGTTTTATCATGCTATAATTTGGATTATATTTCTACCAGTTTTTTTTTTTCCCTAAAAAATATTTTCTGGTGTAAACTAAAGAGTCCATAGGTAATATAACTAATCAATGTTATGGAGTCTATACATACTGTAAAAACAGACATAAATAATCATTAACAGTTTTGGTATGGACCAGTCACTGTACTAAGGGCTTTATACATAGTTGATTGTCTCACTTGAAATTTACAATAGAATGAAATGGTTTTGAACATCCCAAAACTAAAATTTTTATACAAGTCATCTCAATATCCCTTTCATATGTTTGACAAGGTCATTCACTCCGTGGTTTCAAAAACTACGAAAACTTCATAGGTATTCTGGTCCTTAACATTTCTAAAGCTGAGAACTACTGAGCTGCTACCTGCTGCCCAGTTTAGGGTATAGATGGCTCAGTTTTGAACTGGGTAAAAGCAGCACGAGACTTTTGAATTTTTTTTGGGGGGGCGGAATGCAGAAAGCATATGTAGGTTAAAGTTCATGCTGGAAATAGCATGCTTTTGAAGACAACTGAAGATAAATTCTTAATAATAGCCCAAAACGCCAAAGAAAAGAAAATCTCTGTGGTCCTGGATGACTTAGGGACATATTCATGAGAACCAAAGAGTATCTATCTTACGCAGCAGCAGCTGGGGGGTAGCAATGGATTGTGGGAATCAGGCTCTATCTGGCAGCCTTGTCAAAAGTATAGTTGACTTCTGAGATCCTTTCTTCTCTTTCCTCCAAAGATTTTGCTCTGCAGGTTCCCATGGGTAGAGTGATTTCCTTTTCAAATAGATGTTGTGCCACGACCTGCACCAGCCCCTTGTTGGTCAATGGGGTGAAACAGATGCCTCAGCTACTTGTCAGGCCTCCATTGAGGCAGGGATATAAGTGAGAAAGCTAGTTCCTCCAGGAACCTTCCCATGTGCTTACACCACTTATTTGGTGTTACAGAGTCCAGAACAATGAACTCAAATGTAAAGTCCCCATTCAATGAACTTTGTCATCCCTGAGGTGACAGGATCCTTGTCATCTTGATGCATGCTTTTGTTCCTCCTTTCTTCTGTGTTGAACTTTCAGTTCTCCCTCTGAGAAGCATTCCTATTGGCAGACGGTTCTCTGCCGCTACCAAATCAGGTAGGAAGAGGATAAAAGGATCATTTTTAGTTGAAACCACCAGCTGTCTTATAGCAGAATCCGGCTTTCTGATCTCCCAATTTCTGTTGAACAATCCTTGGTGTTCAGTGATACCTAGTAAATCTTGCTAAATGAATAATCAAATAAATGCTTTGTTATTACAGCTTAGAGTAGCATAAAATGATGAGAATGATTTTGGCAAATTGTGAGTAGATTCTCTCATGGTATGTTTTCTAATGGTGCTTACTCTTGAGCTACAATGTCTGGGAACAGCTTTGTACAGAAATGACATAAGATGCATAATTGTTGGTTAATTAGTTTGGTTTTACCTATACACTTTGGTGTTTATTTACTTCTTCATAAAAATAAGATTTTAAAACATCAATGTCATATCTAGTAAGTCTGAATTCTAAGTTTTAAAAATAGTTATTGAAGAGAGCTTTCTCAATTCAATATTTTCTTTTTCTCCCTTCCTCAATTCCAGTTTTTGTATGGTTTTAGTATTTGCCTGTATAATATTTAATAGTCAAAACTTACACTTAAATTCACTTTTATTCAGCCTAATAGAATTACTTTTAATTAGCATTTATAAATTGGTTCTTCTTACTCAGTTTTATCTTGCTAAAATATGTCTCCCTAGTGTGTGTGTGTGTGTGTGTGTGTGTGTGTGTGTGTGTGTTGTGTTGTGCTATGCTAGGAATCAAAGCCAGAACTTTCTGTATGGTAAGCAAGTACTCTACCACTGAGTTATATCTCCAGTCCTACTTCTTAAAAATTTAAATATATTGAATTTTAAAACATGGCAGCCAAATATATATAATGAGATCATCCTTTTACCTGAGAAAACTATTCTCAGTTTTTGTGAGGGAATTAATTTGTCAGTTTTTCTGCCAAAACTGCTGCAACTTCCTAAGCAAGCTGCAGAGCTACTGGTTTGATTTCGGGTACATGCTATCCAATTCTTCTGGATTATTCTGTCCTTAGATTCTTTTGTCTTGGTTTACAAAAGATCTTTATGGGACACACACTGTCATTTCAACCCCAGGACTAGAACTTCTGCATCCTCAGTGCTAGCCATGGTGACCATATAGTGTTCAACAGGTTCAGATGAGTAGGTTTGGTTTGCTAGTCTAGAATTATTTAAAAGAATATTACAGCAGAAGGACTCCAGATCATCTTTCTCTGTTTGTTTTCTTAGATGGGAAAGATCAGCTCTTAAGGCTCTTAGCATTAGTCCTTTACACAATATGTAAAATTTGCTTGTGCCTATCTGATACAGACAACTGACTAGACATTTACTAAGTCGATAATCAACACAACACTAAGTCTTGCCCCTCTGATTTTGAATCATCAGGACAACAAGACTGCTCACTTATAGCTTGCTTGGAAAACAATGCAAGCTCTAGTTCCAAGAATTCTTGACCAAGAACTCCAATGAACTCCTGAAGAAATGCAGCCATATGTAACATACTGATGCTAGGAAGTTCTGAAAGAAAGTTAATATGTTAGGAAAAACCATGTGGTGCATATTGTTCTCTAATTTCCACCCCTCCAATAACTCATGCACATAAAGAAGGATAGCGTATGTTAGGTGCTAGATAGCACAGCTATTTCTGGTGAAAAAATTCTAGGAAAGTCAGATTCAAGACACAAGTCCTTAGGAAGAAGCATATGTTTTCTTATAGTCCCATGGCACCACTGAGGTTATATTGAAAGGACTGGGGGAACAGGTCCACAGCCTGTGTCTTTCAGATTGCTAGAAAGTCAATTTGAAAACCATAAGGGAAGACTTTACATCCAATGTGTGTGATTGTATTAATATATTGCCTGCCTTGGACTTAATAGTCATTATCCATATATTCATTCATGACACCATCCAAGAAGACTATTCCACTACCATTGACAGTGCTTGCCATCACTTATGGAATTGCATGCTTTGGATTTAAGTACCTATCAACACGGGACAAGATTTCATCATTACTTATTCTCAGCCCTTCATACAGGACCAATCGGCATGTGGGTTGAAAGAAACCAATTGCTGAGGGATCTTTACCCAACACAGGGTAGAAAACTAGCATTAGGAATTTATGAAACCATCAACCAGATGTCTGCCATGGTATCTATGGATCTTGAAAACACAGCAACAGCATTGGCAGCAGTTGCATATAAATACTTACTTAGGGTATTTCTATCACCTTGATGGTCACCATGGCAATCATTTAAAACCAGTATTTAGATACATGAAAAGACTGAGACACTAATGCTGTGGCATTGTGATCTAGCAAGAGTAGGCAAAGTCCAACCTTATTCATCAGAGGTTTTCAGCAAGTAGCAATATTTCCCAAGAGGCCACAGGGTGGCTTGTGCTTAACATCAATCCTTCTGCAGCAGGGCAGGGATTTCCAGGCTATTGGCTAACACTTCAGCAGCTCTTATGATTTTTTATGGTTCTAGTATTTTCACTAAGAAAATCTGGGGTAGTAAAAGTGGTTGATTCTGGGAATTCTTCCTACTTGTATATTCATAACTAGTTTCTATTCCCCACCCTGGATCCCACTTGTAAAACACCAAGTGAGCATGCTTTGTAGTCAAAGCAGACATCCTCCTCATTTTGAATAAAGAGTGGAAGTTATAACCCATAGACAAAGAGCGCTGGTGTCTTGGCATGATTTCTGGATCCCAGTGTGCAAATGGGATAGTGTGAGGGGAAACTCGGGCAAGCAGGGAGCCAGGTGGAGGCTTTGAGTCTTTACTCTCCACATGACAACCAAGTGTCTCAAGGAATGTCACTTGACTTGTGCCCGAATTTCCAACTTTTAAATAGAGGACTTGGAAAGATAATTGCTCTTGATTCTAATTTCCAATTTGGATTCAAGTACAGGCAGAAGAATGAGTTGGAATCTTATTTTGAAGACACCAAATATAGCTCCTGCCTAGAGGGACACCCCACTTCTGGAAAATTTCATTATCTTTGGCTACATAAATTGGGAACTATTTTTCTGTGTCTGTGGCAGGTGTACAAGAGTTCTCCTCACCAATCCATAACACATATGATGTTATATTTTGGATCACCAACATCTTACAGATGAGTAAACTGAGGCACAGTACTGAACAACAGTAGACCAAGTGCCCTTGGGAGCTTTTAAATAATTTTTCCAGCCTTCCATTAATGAAATAATTTTGAAAAACTTGGCTTTGGGTATTGATTGACTGTCTTGTCCCAGTGGTCCTCCTGTTTGCTCAGTAGACAGCCTCATTGGAATGCAGTATGTTTTGGTTGAGAAAAGTATTCCCTTGCTTTAGAGAACAGTTGATTAACTGGAGCATTTTATACAAAGGAGAAGTGAGCCTAGAAACAACTTAAATTGTGCTCCCAGTTTATCCAAATTAAAACCCAAACCAGCCAACCAAACAAATAGCACAGCTCATCAATAAGTCTCCCTGTACTTGTTCAATCATGGTTAAGAGTAAGAAGAGGAGATTAATGTGTATCTAGAAGAGACTAACGGCGCCATTTATATAGTGTCAAGTCATGCAAACCATGCTGAAAAGGAAGCGACTCTGTTGCAGTGACACAGGAGGGAGGAAGGCTGTGAGAAGCCCCCGCCTGCAGGGGGCGGGGGCACTGCGCACATGCATGCGCCTGACACAGCCGCTTACACCATTGTGAGTGCTAGGTGTGAGAGTAAGTGAGCTGTACAAAGTCTGTCTACAGTACCCGGAGTCAGCCAGTGACCCCTTCTAAGTAGGCTTGTTGGAAGGGGTCCATATGGAATCCGAAATGCCATCCCCGGTGGATGACATAGGCATGGAACCACTGGGCGTGAAGGGGTCTGTGTCTGTGTCCGTCTCCCCCTCAGCCAGGTACCTCTTCTCCCTCATCCAGCTCGATCCCCCACTGGGGCCAAACAGATAATCATCTCTGTCCTGGGAGATGCTGAAGCCACTTGGAGACCGCTCCAGCTCCTCGTGGTTGACGGACATGAGGGACAGAGGCGTGTCGCTGTCCCTGGTGATGCTGCGTCTCTGGCAGGGCGGGATGTGGTCTGAATAGGGGCCTTGCGGTTCCGTCTGGGAGTGGTAGCTCACACGGGAGTCCAGAAGAGTCAAGATGGGCAGAACTGTGGGCCTCTCTGCATATGTACTTCCCGAGGAGGGAAGGGTGGCCTGAGCCTTTGAAGAACTGGGTGCCCCTCGGGTCAGGTTCACAGGTTCATGTGAAAAAAACCCATAGGGGCCGACTCTGTCGATGGGCACCTGGTGGAAGCTGTAGGGTGGGTCTGGGGGGCCTGTCTCTGAGTAGTTGCAGATGATGGTTTTCAAATCAGAGTACCTGTTGTCCTCTTTCTTCTCCCCTTCCGCTGGGGAAGAGGCCCCCTTAGTCGGGTAGTACTCTGTGACATGCACCTGCAGGCGTTCCATATGCTGCATGTGCATGTCCACAAGGAAGTCCAGTTTCTTCCCCATGTCATGAACCTGGAAAACACAAGCACCTGGAATCACCGCTCCTCAGCATGCCGGGGGGGGGGGGGGGGCGGTGAGAGTAACAGTCACTAAACCATTGCTTCTCAGAAGGGATGTTCTGCAAGTCTTAGTAATAGCAGCAACTCTAACTGCCTCCAAGCCTTCTGCTAGGAGGTCCCATATACACAGTAATGTTTATCTAGAAATACACAGGCAAGGATGTCCCCTGGAGTCAAAGATCAGAAACCCACAGACAGCTTGAAAATAAGTGTTACAGGCTTTCATTATCCCCCTGGAAGAGGTGATACTATTTCAGTCAAGGAATGGGGTCTTTGTTTTTTTGAGACTTTCCTTATATGCAAGCATACAGGGAGGTTGTTAGTGTCTGTTATTGACACCCAGTGACGTAAGTTCTGGAGGACAGTGTTAGCATTAATGGGGCTTTACAGTCCTAGAGACCCAACAGGGGCCCTCAGGAAATGATAGAAGCTGCTTCTGTGTTGGTCATGGCATTCCTAAATTTGAGTGTTTGTGAGAACAACTGTACAACTGTGTGCACATCTGTGTGTGATAGAGATGTTCCTTCCCTGACAATTAATATTTGGCTATTTACACAAGTCTATACACCTTTGTGTGTGATATTCCCCCTCAGACACCCTGCAGTTCACTAAATCAGGTAAGTAAAGAACCTCATTGGATGGATGGGGTTGTGAGACTCAGGACAGATCACAGATAAGGTGTATCTGAGCCATGGTTGCAAGGGACACGTAGGCACCAGCTATGGGACTTTATTTTATGCACGTTACTGACTTACTTAATTTTTACAACCTTACAATCTGAATGCTATTGTGATGTCTGTTTCATAAGAGATGACTCAGTGACCAGAGAGATGACAACTTGTGAAAGGTCACAGAGCTAGGAAATAGAACAAGGATTATAAATTAAAATTTAAAAATAAGAAGCAACAGACCAATCATTGAGCTTTGCTTCTATTTCCCCTACATGGATCTAGATTTGGGTGATGGATAAAAGAATCGACATGAGTCCTGGAGGGAACTGATAGAGCCATTTACCTAGTGGACTACAGAGATGAGCTACACGGGGTCAATTGAGTGAACCTCTCTTTGTACCCTGAATGGCCCTTACCCATAACTTAACTCCCTGACAGGCCTTTTCATGAAGGTCACCCACAGATTGGAACTAGAGCAAAAGAGAACAGAAAGGAACGTGAAACTATGGGTACAGTAGTGACATCAGTTAAGGGACTATCACGAAGCATCTGGACAGCAGTGACCATCTATCTGTTGACGAGTCACTGTACACCAGCTAACATTCTAGGTAATTCATATGTGTCAGTAATTATATGTATTGTAATCAATTTAATCCTTATAGCAACTTTATGATGTATTTAATCCCCTGTATGGCAGACAAGCAAATCTGAGGCTCAAAACAGTAATTAACTTGCAGGTGATCATCTAGCCAGTAAAAGTGAAACTAGGGAATTAATTTCCATATCTTTCTTTTTTTATCTTGTAGTGGTAGGTGATATTTCTAATGCCTTATCTCCATATGAAAAAAAAATGGAATCTGAAAATAAGTACTATAGAGTTGGAAGGATGGCTCAGCAATTAAGAGCAAGTGTTGTTCTTGCGTTCCACCACCCACATGGTGGCTCATAACCATCCAGAATTCCAGTTTCAGGGACCTCTGCAGGAATCAGTCATGCATGTGATTCCTACACATATATGCATGCAAAACATTTATACACATAAAATAATAGATGAATCTTAAAAAAAAGGAAAAGAAGTTTACATGCTATCTTTTTTTTTGGTGAGGCTTACCTGTCTTTCTACTTTTACAAACTTTCCCATCATGCTTTGGTCTTCAGTTTCTGATGTGGCTGCCCTGGCTACATATGGTTCATTCCTAGGGAAAAGCCAACAACTCCATAAGATCATTGCATCTGTTCTGAATGTGCAAGGTCATTCTAAGTTGGAAGCCCATGCGCATTCGACCATGGTTCTCATACATGCTGCCAAAGCCTAGAGGAGGTTATTTTGACACACTTAGTCAGGACTGTTGATTGTATGCTTACCTTCCCTGAAGGAGAATGTGAAAACAGACAGGAAGCTGTGGTGAAGGAGGCTTTGCTTTGTGTTGGAGTTTATCAAGTATCTAACAATGCCTAGACTCTCTATTCCTTTAAATTAAATTCCTTTACCTTTCAATCTCAGAGCTTTTACCCTGTGGGGATGAAGGAGGAATTGTCTCATCTCTGAAATTATATGCAATAAGTATACACATTTCATCTGGTCCATTTTGTTAAAAATGCCAAACACCTGCTGAATCTGGAAAACAATGCTGGATTTTCTCTTTATGTACAATTATGAGCTGCCTAAATTCTTGTTTGTTCCGGTATGTTTACACTATGTGGAGATGAGATGTTTCGGAGGATCTTGCTGTTGCTAAAATCCATTCAAGTTGGGCTTTCTCATGACAGAGGATTTTTTTCCCCTTTTCTAAGCTGTTGCCTCTGCTAAGTTACTTCTTAGCCTGAACAATCTTCAGCTAAGGCAAATTTCAAAAATTAGTGGCCTCATGCTACAGCCAGCCTGCTAGTGTTTTATTTGTCCTGCATAGGTACATTCAATTTGATGTTTAATTAAAATTCATTAGCTAACATGGGGAAATTAGAGTTTTGAGTGTCCTTTTTCCTATTTTCTGGGCAAATTTTTGCTTACATTACAAATCCTAAGATAAGCTCCATATTTGCTCATAGTTACAGACTTCTGTCAAACCCAGATACTCTCTCTTAGTAGTTTTGTGACTTCAGGAGTTAATATCTCTTAGTGTCACTTTTATTATGTATGATATGGATGTGATAAAGTGCCTGCCTTGGAGGTCTGCTAGAGCATTACATGTGAGAATTCATAGGAAATGGTCCAATAGTGCTATTTTATATTATGTTTTATTAATTTGTTTATTTTGAGATGGATCTCCTCTATACCTCAGGGTGCTCTCAAACTCAAGATCTTTTCTTTGTTCATTTTTCAAGTGCTGGAATTATAGGTATGTACTACCAGACTAGATTCTGAAAAAGTCTTAAAACATCCCCAAGTACCATCTCAAAAATGAGGAAACTGTTAGTTGGATGTAGTTTTGTATGCCTGTAATCCCAAAGAAGAAGGACTGGTGTGGATTTTAGACCAGCCTAGGCTATGTAGTGAGATATTGTCTCAAAAACAAAAATCAAACCAGTACAAAGCCTCCAAGTTAGTTAACTAGTCAATTAAGTAAAATAAATAAAAATTTATAAGAGTGGAACTCTTGCCGGGCATGGGTGGTACACGCCTTTAATCCCAGCATTCGGGAGGCAGAGGCAGAGGCAGAGGCAGAGGCAGCAAGATCTCTGTGAGTTCAAGACCATCCTTGTCTATCAAGCAAGTCCTAGGACAGCTAGGAGTCTGTTATACAAAGAAACCCTGTCTTGAAAAAAAAGTAGAACTCTCTAAAAGATATTGACTTTGAAAATGGATTATATGGAAACAGGGCTCTTTGTTAACATTAGCTAGAGCAGAGCATAGTAGCAGTCATTCCCACTAGATGGGTCAGAGCCTCAGGCTCCAGTATTCCTTATCTCATGCCAAGCCTAAGGCTGAAGAGTAGATCCTTCTTTCAGTGCACCAATGTTCTTCCTTCTAAGAAGAAAGTGCACAGTAGTCCCTCACTCACTTGTCTTGCTTGCCTTAAAGATGTCTTGGAACACTGAGGTGCAAATGCAAACAAAGACTTTAAAAAGGGACAATACTTGTTCAAAAATTTAAAGTATTTTTTTGGGGGGTGAGAATTTTCTGATTTACAGTGCTGTTGGGGGTCCTGGCATCTGTACACCTTCTCACTTTGTCTTGGAAGGGATATCAGTCAACCCTCAGGGTACTGTGCAAGGGAAAGCAAATGAGCTGACCAAGAATGCATACGCTCTGCTGACACCAGCTACGTTCTCTGTTTCTACAAAACTTCTGAGTTTCTTCTTGTTTTATAGCCAGAACACTAGCTTTTTCTATCCTAAAAACCGTAGAAGTAAGTATATGTGTTCTTGGAATAGGGGCAGGAAGTCACCTGTCAGAGAATTTTCAAATGGCCACAACCTGAACCAGCCTTCCAACTCTCTGTTCATTTCATTTTGGGGGGGCAACTTCCCCCACATAAAGCACCCAGGCTGGGATTGGGGGATAGTTATACTGCACAGGCCTTGTGCTCAACAGTCTGTCAGTCCACGACCACATGCCCCACCTTGGAGACTGCTGGGATGGGTAGGTAAATGCTGACCCTTTCTGAGACTTCTTATGTTTTGGAGTGGATGGAGGTCCAGGGGTGAAAATCATATCTATTCTGAAAGAAGAAGAAGAGAAAAGAAAAAGAGAGAGAGAGAGAGAGATTAGATGACACAAAGCTTTGTTGTTGTGAGAACATTCTTTATTTTTAAGATTTATTTAAATTATGTATATAGTGTTCTGCCTGCATGTATGCCTACAGACTAGAAGAGGGCACCAGATCTCATTACAGATGGTTGTGAGCCATCATATGGTTGCTGGGAATTGAACTGGGCACCTCTGGAAGAGCAGCCAGTGCTCTTAACCACTGAGCCATTTCTCCAGTCCCCAGCATTTTTACATTTCTTAATTCAAATGTCTGTTTGGAATATGTAAGAAAAGGGAGGAAAGTCAGAGGAGTGGGAACAAAAGGAGAGAAAATGCCAGCCAGGACATCGATATCTTTTTCAGTCAGGGGCTGCAAGAGCATCTTCTCATCCCCAGGATACCAAAGGGAGATAATCTGCAGAGTTGGGGAGAAGGCTATGACTTATTCCTTACAGCAAATGCCACACCTGTGTTGCAAGCCCATCTAATCTTCCAGCTCTTTTATCCATCCCCAAGCTACCTAATTAGAGAAGTTTTGCTGTCAGACTCCAGGATCCATTTTCAGCTGCACAGACCACACCATGCTATGCATGGAAGGATGGCTTAACCCTAGCTCTGGCACCATGCTTCTATTTTTGTACAAAACACCAGCTCAACAGAAAGTTGCTGTCCATCATGCTGTGGGACAGGGACAGAGGTGGGGGTTGTCAGGATGACCACTAAGATACATTCTGAAATAGTCTTGGGTCACATTTTTCCTCTGTCAACTCAGCTTCGTTTCCAACAGATACTCAAGGCATCATTTGAAGTCAGCCCTACTTTCTGCCTGGCCCTCTCCTTTCTGTCTGGCCCACTAAAATATACACATGGTGGGGATTACACAATGCTTCATCTTGGCAGGCAACCTCTAGCCATAATCTGCAGAAACACATTTTCTTGATAACTATCAAAAATCATGACAGTGCAACTGTCTATTCTGTAAACACTACAACTGCCTAATATTTTTTGGAGTCTCGCCTGTTGTTGGCAGCATGCTGTCTCCCTCTGTCTCTCAGACAGCCGTACTTACAGAGTTGATAGCATGGAGGGCTGAAAATTTGTTCATACATCACAAATTTGGACAGTAGGCGTTGAACCCTGATTTGGTATTTACTACTATGTGCGGGACAAAGGACTGTCATGAATAAATATACTCACAAGCTAACACTGCTACCAAAAGCCTCATTGGTGCAGTGTTTCAACTAAGCCTGGAGCACACTCTAGCAGGGGAACATGAATTGGATGAGAAGGCAGAAGCCCAAGTCAACGTGAATTGTGTCAGTTTATTTTCAGGCCTCTC